TGATATCTATGACCTCCTGTCGTCTCCGATCTATGAAGGTAGGTTCTGACCCCCTATTAAGGATATTCAGACCGGTCCCCATTATGAATTTCTGGAGGCTTGCCCCCTGCCGTTAATGCCGGTGCTCCCCCATGCTACACGGTGCGAGTTGGCATCACAACCTAGCAGTAGTTCAAGTCCGCTTTCCTTCACATGGTTGCATAGGTCCTTTACTTTTTTCGAAGGAGGTGGTTCAGCCGAGGCATAGGGCGTGTAAACTGACCCTACAACCAAGCTCATTTCCTCGCCTTGTCCCAGACCCAGATCCATTTGTGCCACAGCCAGGTCTCCCTCACTAGCCTGTGAACAGAAGAAAGAGTCTAGTCCTTTAATAACAATACAAGATCTAATTTTTTCCTGAGTGTTTGCGTGATAGATTCTGCCACAACCACTGAGGCCCTTAATGGCATTGTCCACTATCCATGGTTCCTGGATCAATGCTATGACAGTCTGCATCCCAGCTAATAGCCTGACTAGAGTAGCCGAGGCTGCTTTGCTGTGATGCAAATTTATCTGTACAATAGCACCCGGGTTGCAGCCATAATGATGACTACTTTCCTGGTACCTCTATGTACGCTTCTTCGGACTTTCACCACGGTCTTTCGCAAGCAGCTTGACAGTCGCTTTTTGAATCCCGCAGTGCAGTCTGAATTATCAGGCTTTCAGAACAGAGAGTGATCGGTCGTCTATCAGCGCAACGAAGTGGGCACTTTTCGCATCCCTGCTCTCACTGCCCCGAGCGACAACCCATTCTCTGGCCTGCAGTCCTGCATTCTGTTTCTCAAGGAAGCACAGCGCTTCTTGAGCGGTTAGATCTGGGTCTTCCACGTGTAGTACAACCCTGTGCTTCTTGGGAAGCTCCGAGGTTGCGACCACACGTACAGTAAGCCCAGCTATTTTGTTTTCGGGGAAAAGGCTTTTCAGCCAATTTCCCGTTTCCTCATCAGTGCAGTACACCATTGCCACACCTTCTCTTTCCCAGACACCGTTGAAGGTGGGTGCTTTCACCCCGTCAGGTAACGCCAGAATGGCCCCCTTCAGGAGTTTCTTCACCTCCGTTACCTCTTCAGTGCCCAGTTTCTGGTCCGGATATGACTCCGGCATAACTGCAAACTTGAATGAGCTCGCAGTATTTTGAGCATATGTGCCCTGATCCGGCGTTCTCATTCTCTTTTCTTTCGGTCTGACTGAGGGGCTTGGCGTGGTACACTCCGATGGAAGGCGTTTTATTGCCTTCCTCACAGCCCCCTCCCCCTTCCCCTCATCGACCTTCGCTGCTGCATCCGTCAAGGTTGCAATCGCCCCCGAGGTTTGATGCAGCTTCGCTCTCTTGCGACGTCTTCTCTCGGCTCCACTCAGTCTGACCCGATTCACATTGGTACCAGATTGGTCAGCCTTGTCAGACTTCGTGTGTTTACCATCGCTGGCCCCACCCGAAGTTACTTTTTCAATACTGAGATTTTTTTAGATTGGTTTCCATTTTTGGTCCCACGAGTACCGCGGTCAAGCGTTTTCACCTGGTGCATTGCCGCGATTGCCCAGGGCTTGGCTTGTCTCGGGTGGGTTACACCCAAGACTACTCTCAGAGGTTGCCCAGGTTTCTGAGAGGCACCGTTACCGACACAGCTCCCCCTGTGCCACGCATCCTTAGGCACGGTATGGCCGAGGCTATGGCTTACGCCGCTCACACACATGGATTGGGTGTGCTCCTCTTAGTCCATACGCAATACCCCCTTCCCGTGGTCACTAAGAGGTCGATGAAATTTTATCATTGAATTTCATGTTTTTGGGGGTGAGGAATCCGAATATGTTATTTATTTTGTCCTCCTGTCGCGCAATCATTTGTTATAAACAAATTAGTCCCCATTTTTAGTGAATAAATGTTCTTCTGGAAAAACAAAGAGAGATACAGAAAAATTGTCCAAACAAAAGTTATTCCTCTTTATTTCACCAATAAGACGATTTTTGACTCGTCCAAATCGATCCAATATTTCCCGAGATACAGGCTAAAGAGTGAGCGCGGGTGGATAGACTGCGTGGACGACGGGTGAGTATGGGCGCGGAGCAGTGTATCTAAACGAATATCGTTTGTGTTTGCATACTGCACTGCGCTGAATAAATTTTATAAACATATGATGTTGAACAATGTGTAAATCGTGTTCAGTGCCTTCCTTTACCATGTTTCGATCTATGGTTTCAATGAATTTTCATGTAATTGACTCATCATTTTCTCTTTTCAGATATCTTCATCTTCAATATGAAGGGGTCTTCTATTCATCCGATAACAGGAATTATACATTATCATTATAAGTTGCTGGCCACATTTTTACGTTCTCCTCTCGAAGCATGGAACGCGTTTTGTCCCTTACCCGACATGAAGAGTATGAGAGAAAATAGAAGTAATGGACAGATTACAGATATTATTCCTTTCTGTAGTAATATAATGCAAACAGAATGTACAAACCAACGATATTCACTCAGATACTCTGCTCCGCGCCCATACTTACCCGTCGTCCGCGCAGTCTATCCACCTGCACTCACTCTTTAGCCTGTATCTCGGGAAGTATTGGACCGATTTCGATGAGTCAAAAATCATTTTATTGGTGAAAGAAAGAGGAATAACATTTGTAAGAACAATTTTTTTGTATCTCTCATTGTTTTCCCGGAAGAACATTTATTCACTAAAAATGGGGACTAATTCGTTTATAACAAATGAGTACACGACGGGAGGACAAAATAAACAACATATTCGGATTCCTCACCCTCAAAAACATAAAATCCAATGATAAAATTCCATCGACCTCCTAGTGACCACGGGAAGGGGGTACTGCGTATGGACTATCTTAGCGACCGCGGGCGGCGGTAGTCCTTAAGACCTCCACCGCCCGCGACCGAGCCCCCTC